GGGGCAGGTGCAGGGGCAGGAGCAGATGCAGGGGCAGGGGCAGGGGCAGGGGAAGGCAGGGTGCTGGGGAAGGTGTGATGCAGGAAAGCGAAAAAAAAAATGTAGTCCAATAATGTTGTGGCATCAATGCTGGTGCTCTGCGAGGCAAGGAAAGAACCAACTGGAGATTCTGTGGTGTGTTGCACTTACACTGCCCTTGCTCCCCTTGCACTCATACCGGGAATCAAACCACTTAAGAGCGGGACCAGGCAAGAGGGTTGAAGGCCACCACCACTTGCAGAGCGGCAGACAGAGAACAGATGAGGTCACTTTAAGAACTCTGAGAATCAACTTCAAGTGCAGAGGGGGGAAAGAGAGGTGAATGAGAGATGGGAAAATGGGCAGTGCAACAGAGGGAGGGATAGTCAAGACGAGGAGCATCCACGAGGGGTGGGGGGGAGGAGAAGAGAGAGGGAGAATGGAGAAGGGGGATAAGGAACATCCACTAGCGGCAAGTGAAATAAGTTGCCTTTGTGTTCGACACGGCATGAGAATGGAGACCAGTGTAGTTGTTGCGTTATGGATGAAGGAGTAGTCGAGGGTTAGGGGAGGCAGGTAAATGGTGGAGGTAGGATAATTGGATCAGTAACCTTTGTCTGTGGTTTGGCATGTGGTGCGGCATAATAAAGAGCATGCACCGTACCAGGGTCTAGTCTCGCTGCATGGCGAATCCAGATGGTGGGCTGTAGTAGAGGTTGAGAAGAGGGCATTGCACGGAAGGGTGGGGAGCGGGAGAGGAAAAGGGGAAAATGGGATCAGACAAATGGGGTTGCTTTTGAGAATACTCAAAATCAACCTCGTGGAAAAGGGGTCAGACGAATGGGGGGAGAGAGGAGCGGAAGTGGTGGAAAAGGGGAGAGGAGGGAGCAACTTTTACATCAAATTTCATAGGATAACTATTGATTACCCCTTTATCGTACTGTGCATTGCACCACCACCATCACATCATGGTCATCACAACACCACCTCATGATCATCACACCACCACATCACGACCATCACACCACCACATCATGATCATCACACTACCACATCATGATCATCGCTCCATCACATCATCATAATCGCACCATCGCATCGTGATCATCACACCATCACATCATAATCATCACACCACCACATCGCGACCATCGCACGACCACATCATGATCATCGCACCACTACATCATACTCATCACACCACCACATCATGATCATCACACCACATGCCATTTCAGGTCCAGCAGAGGCAGCTGCTGTCCTCCACCCTCTGCTTTGGCAGCCCCAGCACCATCCACACCACCACTGGTGCTTGTCATAACTTCCCCACCTTCGCCTTGCTTCACCCGCCTCCTTCCCCTTCCCCTGCTCTTTCTCAATTCCAGCAACTCCTGCTTAATTTTTTAGCAGAACGTGTGCCATCACCAGCAGCACTGCTCTGAACAGCTTCAGGACTAGCAGCACCGTTTTGAATAGATTTAGGGTCAGCTGGCTGCAACACCTGTGGATCTCGTTCGGTTGCTTGTTGCCTTCTCCTCCATATCAGGCACACCTTTTCTTTGAGTCACCTCATAATCTTTCAGGTCAATGACCCTCTTGACACGAGACCTTGCGGCACGCTTCCCACCACCTCCCTCATCTGCTCCATCCCTTTCATCTTCCTCATCCGCCACACATGCTCTATCTGCCTCGAATAAGAATCCATTGATCTTGAATATTTTGTCCCCCTCATCCCCTTCATCTTCTTCATCATCCTCATCCTCCTCATCACCCTCATCCCCTCATCCGTCCCATCTAATATTTGATTACAAAGCCCCCACCCGCACTGCTCTTCGCTATCCTCCTTGAAGGTGAATTCCACAGCTGCCAGCGAGGAAAGGGTAGCTCGAGGTATGGATGGGGACGGTGAGGGTTCAGGCATTGCTGGAGATGGGGGGATGGTGCCTCGCGTGATGAGGTGTGCCAGGGCTGCTGTCAGCACGGCTGATGCCTGCACAGGTGGTGTGTGGGGATGGGAGATGGGATGGAGGTTCGGAGACTGAGAGATGGGATGCTGGGAGCTGGAGAACAGCCATCCGGATTGTCTGGTTCCAGCCACCCCACCCACACCTCTTCAGTGTCCTCCCTAAACGTGGACTCCACAGCTGCCCGCAAGGAGAGGTTTGGAGTGGATGGAGTGTTTGGAGATGGGGGTTGGTGCCTTGGGTTATAAGGTGCGCCAGTTCTGCTATCTGCATGGTTGATGCAGGCAAGGACGGTGGGTGGGGATGGGAGATGGCAGGCTGTGAATTATGGAGGTTGGGAGGAGAGGGAATGGGAAAAGGGAGGTTTGGATATGGGAGGTTTAGAACGGACATCTGACCCATTTGAATCCTTATCCCACGGCCCCTGCCCGCTTTGCTCTTTAGGGTTCCCTTGGCGGCTGCCTGCAAGGGGCGGTTGACTGATGGTATGGATGAGGAGGGGCGTCTGGAGATGGGGGGATGGCACCTCGCACAATGAGGTTTGCCAGTGCTGTTGTCAGCACAGCTGATGGCTGCACAGGAGGTGCGTGGGGATGGGGAATGGGAGATTGTGAGGTTGGGAAGTTAGAAGCTGCCTCTGCCCACTCAAAGGAGCTGTCTCTTACCATGCATGTCGCACCCAACCAACCCAAACATTATCCAAGTATGTACGCAGCACCCAATGCCCTTCAAGCATCCTCACCTCCATAACAGTGCGGTACAGCCGGGCAGAGTTGTCATCAGTAACATGCTGCTGCACCATGCCTCTGATGCCATCATGGGGTTGCATCACTGCCACCGCCTCCTCCGACCAAAACGAGCTGGCCACTCGCACCCGCCAGTCTCCCTCCCACCTCACTCTTATCCCCTCCAACCCATTCTCGTCCCCTCCACCCCTCTCACTCTCTCCACCCCATTCGCATGCGTCTCTCCCTCCTGGCAGTCTCCCATTGTCTTACCCATGTGTGGGTCCCGCACAAGGTGTTCCAGTACCATCATGCGCTCAGTCGTCATACCCCATGCATGTAGCGCTTGCTCTCCCACTGCTGCCTCTGCTGCTGTGGTGGTGTAACAAGTGGAGCTGACTGCACTGGAGCCCGCGTGAAGTATATGGGAGGCAAAGGCATGCAGCGGCAGCATGCAGTTGCGAACGTGGGCAGCACAAGGGCGGAAGTGAGCAGGACGTGGGAGACCCACGCGAAGAGGACGAAACAGAGGTTTCGTGCCTTGACTGACTTTGGGGGACTTTCGCGTGGGATAGGTGGCGGAAGTCCAGAATTGAAGGAATAGAAACGTAACACGTGTTCAATTGCAGTGAGTAGTACAAATGTAAATAAGAAAGGTAGAATGCGGTCCGATGTTGGGGCTGGCCACCCGAATCAACATCTCGAGCCGCATGTCTGAATTGTAAATGTTCTGTACATATAAAATGCATTCGTAGGATAGAGAGAGTAGTTTTGTGGTTTCTCTTTCTGTTTGTCCTTCCTTGCTCTAAGGAAATTCTCTTGGGAAAGAATTCTCAGCCATAAACAACTAGAACAAGCCCAAGTGCCGTGAGCTTGTTCCAGGTGGCCTGAGGGAGCAATGCGATGCAACTTAGCCTATGGGGGTGTGACTTAAGATATGCTAGGCTACAGTGGGGTACATCTTAAAGCTGAAGTATACATTTGTCATCCAGGTTTTGGGTTTAGGGAGTCGCCTCACGGTCTCACGGGCAAAGTTTCAAATTTCAAAAGTTTTTGAACCCCTTCTGTCAAATGTATACTAAAGCTTTAAGGGATACAACACCATTTCTCAACACTCACACTTGTATCTGTTTTCTCCTTGTCAACCATTCCAGTCGACCTACTATGAGACAATCTAGCCTACGATATATGCAAATATATATACTGACATGTCACTTCCAACCCCTTCCGTTCTCCCTCTGCTTGTCAAATCATAGCTCACAGGGATAGAATTACGATATTTCAGCGCTCTGCCGCCTGACACAAAGTGGCAAATCTTCCCGGTCTTCCTCCAGAATTCAGTGATGGAGGGTAAATTATATGAATAAAAAAAAATCCAATGATTGGAGAAGTTGCTGGAAATTTTTAACAAGGATCGAATTACTTTATTTTCATGCGCCCCTAATATCTTCCATACCAGAGGGAGGTCTTGCCTGGCATGAACATGCCACCAGCCACATGATAAAACTGTCGATGCAACTTGTGCAGCATGGGCATGAATATCTGACAGGGGTTTGCTAAAAAAAAGTTGTTTCCCATAAATGGAGAAAAGGTGAAATGACCGTTCACGTTCCAAACAACCAATTTTCTGTAGCGCGTATGACCCAAACAGAGATTTCACCATTTGACTTGCTAAATGCAGCGACACCACAGGCAACGAGAACACCAATGGCGTCGGCACCCGCTCTTGGGATATACAGCGCGCCATGCGGCGCGCGCAGTGACACACTTCGCGGTTTAGTCAAAACGCCACACTCACACAGCCATGGTGCTGCAGCGAGCCCTGCTGCAATTTTCAGCAGCACTGGCTGCAAACGCGGCAATTGCGGCCGGCCCGTCGCACGCGTCCACGTCAGCCGCCTTCCCTGCTTCTGCGGAGCCTTGCAGTCGCGCTCCCGGAAGTTGCGGTCTGTCGATTGCGGCCAGAGTTGGATAGGTCAGGGAACGGTTGCCCGTGCTGCTCACATCACATTTAACGGTAATAAGGGCTTACGCGCTATAGACTCTCGCATTAGCAGCGCATGCTGCTTCCCAATAAAGCACGAGAGTTCAAGCCGCCCAGAACTGCATTGCCAAGCCGGGGCGGGAGGCTCGGAAGTTGCCGAGGCAGTGCCGGACGAGCCTGCCAAGTCCGGCAAGTACGAGGCTTGGGACGCGACGACGGAGCGGCTGACGGCGCTGTCGACTGTAGCGGGACTATTTATGATGGTGCCGCAGGTGAGTCGCGGTTGGGGGAAGGGAAGTGAGACAAGCGATGACGGGGAAAGGGGAGTGGGCGGGGGGAAAGCGACATGAGATAGGATGGGGGAGGAGGGGAGGAGCAGCTGACGGCGCTGTCGACTGTGGCGGGGATGTTGATGATGGTGCCGCAGGTGACGGTGCTGAGGGGAGGGGCGCGATGAATGGGACAAGGGGTTATGGGAATGAGAGGGCGGAAGGGTAGTGCAAGTGTTGGAAGGGTAGTGCAAGTGTTGGAAGGGTAGTTTTTTTTTTTTTTTTTTTTTTTTTTTTTTTTTTTTTTTTTTTTTTGGAATTGCTGAGTGCATTAAAAGGACAATGCATACAACAAGAGCAGTCGTAACTGAGCGTGAGGGCGGGCTTCATGCACCGCCCAGACAGGCAACCTAGGGGGGTCTAAAAGCCCTCCTTGGCTTGTTCCAAATTGCATCGAAACTGGCCGACCACTTCCACTTCTTGTCGCCAGCCTCACGGATCCTTGTCAGCATTTTTTGCTCAGCTTCGAAAACCCCCCTGAATCTTTTGTGCTTCCCCGACGTGCCCGGCCTCAGACATTTCGCTCCTGTAGCCTTCGTGTATACCCTCGCATGCAGCCGAAAAGCTACCCCGATCCTCCTGAGCACCCTCCTCGCTCTGAACTTCTGCCCTCGAAACGTGGCATCACATCGTTCCACCCACAGCTGGTGGAGGGCGATAGCCGTGAGCGTTCCTTCTGGAAAGTCAGTCACTGTTCCAGATTCCATGAACAGCAGGTCTCCCAACGAGCTCGGAGACCGTGAAGGGTTGAGCATGCGGAGGGCACGACGTAGCCCTGAGACCACTGGTTGAATTCTGGGGCAGGTGAACAGGCAGTGTTCATGCGTCTCCTCCTCCCCGCAGTATGGGCACTTCGGCTTGCAGCTCAAAAACTCCACCCTCTCCCCAACCTGTAGGTTCAGGTTATGCACCCGCGTGAGGACGTCACGTGGCCGGCTCGGGATAGCGAGCGAGTTACGTGTACGAATAACCCGCTGCCAGTCAATCTTTCCACTCCAGCGACCAGCCCACTTCTCTTGTTTCGTCAGGATTGCGGTAGGCTTGGCCCATGCCTCCCTCAACCGCTTCAGAGGGGCGAGCTGCCCGTCCACAAAAATGGCTGACCTGAAGATCGAGGTAACTGCGCTTCCCTCCCCTCTGGGTGAAACAGCTCCAGAAACTCCCCCAGCCCCCTGTGCCGAGCCAGGCACCAAGAGGTTCTTCCAATCTGGTGGAGCAGCTGCCAACGCCTTGAGAGCCAAGCGTGCTGACTCTTTCCCTCTCAGCTCCCTCTCCAGGATTTCCATGTCCTTAACCGCTGCTACGCCTGAGGAGTCAGTGGTTACCAGGTCACCCAAACGCGTTTCCCAAAGTCCTTTTGCCGCTTGCTGACCTCCGATCGGGTTTGTGCCGTTCAGTAAAATATTCCTGTTAAAAACAAGCCGTTCATGCGCCACCTCCTCTTTGTTGAGAGCACCCCCGATCACGGCTAATGGCGACATCAGAAAAACCTCACACGTCTGCTTCCACCGTTCCTCGTCACCCGGCCAGTGCTTCAGCAATTTCTCGTGCGCCACGAAAGTGTTGGAAGGGTAGTGCAAGTGTTGGAAGGGTAGTGCAAGTGTTGGAAGGGTAGTGCAAGTGTTGGAAGGGTAGTGCAAGTGTTGGAAGGGTAGTGCAAGTGTTGGAAGGGTAGTGCAAGTGTTGGAAGGGAAGGGGAAGCGTGGGGAACTTGCAAGAAAAGGGGGAGTGCCGGGAGACTGTTAGTGAAGGTGCGTCCAGGGAGTGCCGGGAGACTGTTAGTGGAGATTTTCTTCCTCTTCCTCCCTGCCACCGCTCTCCACCCCTCTCCCTCACATCCCTGCCACCGCTCTCCACCCCTCTCCCTCCCATCCCTGCCACCGCTCTCCACCCCTCTCCCTCCCAACCCTGCCACCGCTCTCCACCCCTGCCCTTTGCCCCTCCGCGCCTGCAGATCCTAAAGAACGCCGCTCTGCTGCGCACCAACCAGGGCGCAGCGTTGGGCATCCTGTCGTGGCTGGGCTTCGCCACGGGCTTCCTGGGCAACATGCTGCTGCTCTCCTACTTCACCGCTAAGCGGGAGCTCTCAGCATGCCTCGTGCAGGTAGTGCCTCGTGCAGGTAGTGCCTTGTGCAGGTAGTGCCTCGTGCAGGTAATGCCTCGTGCAGGTAATGCCTCGTGCAGGTAATGCCTCGTGCAGGTAATGCCTCGTGCAGGTAGTGCCTTGTGCACCGCCTTGCTAGGTGCTACCTGCTTCACCATTTACCAAAGTATTCCCAAGGCTCGTCTCATCTGTTCGCCCCGCAGATGCTGCTCATCGTCCTGCTCTTCTCTCTCTCTTTTCCCTTCTCCATGCTGGCTCGTGCTGCTCTTGCCTCTTCCTCTTCCTCTCCCTTAACTCTCTGCCTTGCCTCTTTCTCTTCGTCCTGACTGGCGTTGCTTGCTGCTCGCGGGGTTCATGCCGCCACCAGCCTTCACAACAGTGACGGTCTATCTGCTGATCGGCTGCACCTTCACTGCCTTTTCCCTGCCCCCATCTCTTACTTCCCTCGCCTTTCTACTCCCTCTTTCAGGTAGTAGGAGCGGCATCCACAGCCGTCCTGCTCTCGCAGGTCTACCTCGCGGGGTTCATGCCCTCACCAGCCTTCACAGCAGTGGCGGCCTATCTGCTGCTCGGCTGCGCTGTCAACTGCCTGCGCTTCACCCGCCGCCTGCCCCAGCCCCTGTGGGACACGTGGCAGGACGTGATTGGCGTTCTTGGCCTTGCTGTGCTGCCACAGGTGGGGTAGCAGGCTCTGCAGCTGCCGTCTGCTGTCTGCCATTTCTTGCCGCATGTCCTTTCCACCCCTACCTACTCCATTCCACTCCCACCCACTCACCCTTGTCCACTCCGACTCACTCACTCCTGTCCACTCGTAACCTCTCGCTCACCGGTCGTATTCTTCTCTCCTTTTCAATCACTGTGCATCAACAGGCCTTTCCCCATCCACTTCCCAGCCCTTCTCCTCAACCTCCCCCAACCCAGCCCCCCTCCGTCCACCTAATGCCCTCACCATCCTCTGCTATTCTCCATGCCCCTGCTTCCCTGCCTCCTCCCCTCCCCCTTCCCTCCCCCTCACCTCTTTTTCATTTCAACCTCACCTCCCCTTTGCATCCCCTCCCCCCTCCACTCCCCTTTCCTCACCTCCCGCCCGCTCCCCTCCAATTTTCTGCCTTCCCCCCTCATCCCCTTCCCTGCGCTCCTCCCCTCGCCTTCCCTTGCCTTCCCATTCCCGCCCCCCGCTTCTGCTTCCCCCACTGCTGCTCCCCCCACTGCTGCTCCCCCCACTGCTGCTCCCCCCACTGCTGCTCCCCCCACTGCTGCTCCCCCCACTGCTGCTCCCCCCAACGCTGCTCCCCCCAACGCTGCTCCCCCCAACGCTGCTCCCCCCAACGCTGCTCCCCCCAACGCTGCTCCCCCCAACGCTGCTCCCCCCAACGCTGCTCCCCCCAACGCTGCTCCCCCTGCAGGTCATCTGGTCCACATTCTCCTCTGTCAGCACGAAGCTTCCAGGAACCGTCTCGGCGGTGGGCGGGTTACTGTTCATAGCGGCCATGCGGAGGGGGCTGGTGGGGCAGCGGTGGCGGGACAGGTGGCAGCTGCTGAGTGGCTGGACCGCCACGCTGCTCTTCATGGTCATGCCCGTCGCCCAGCTGCAGGTGAGATGCTTTGCACCGCACTGCACCGCACCGCACTGTGCCATGCATTGATACATCCACACTCTGATGCCATATCTCTCCGTCTGTCCTGCCTCTCTTCCTCTTCTGCCTCCCTATCGGCCATCTCTCACCCAGTCCAGTCTCTCCTCACCCAGTCCAGTCTCTCCTCACCCAGTCTCTCCTCTCCCGGTCCCCTCATCATCTCTCAACCTCCTCTAGCATCTGTCCTCCCGCCGTCTCTTCTATCCTCTTATTCCATCTCATTCCATCTCTGCATCTTCCCTCCCTGCATCTCATTCCATCTCTGCATCTTCCCTCCCTGCATCTCATTCCATCTCTGCATCTTCCCTCCCTGCATCTCATTCCATCTCTGCATCTTCCCTCCCTGCATCTCATTCCATCTCTGCATCTTCCCTCCCTGCATCTCATTCCATCTCTGCATCTTCCCTCCCTGCATCTCATTCCATCTCTGCATCTTCCCTCCCTGCATCTCATTCCATCTCTGCATCTTCCCTCCCTGCATCTCATTCCATCTCTGCATCTTCCCTCCCTGCATCTCATTCCATCTCTGCATCTTCCCTCCCTGCATCTCATTCCATCTCTGCATCTTCCCTCCCTGCATCTCATTCCATCTCTGCATCTTCCCTCCCTGCATCTCATTCCATCTCTGCATCTTCCCTCCCTGCATCTCATTCCATCTCTGCATCTTCCCTCCCTGCATCTCATTCCATCTCTGCATCTTCCCTCCCTGCATCTCATTCCATCTCTGCATCTTCCCTCCCTGCATCTCATTCCATCTCTGCATCTTCCCTCCCTGCATCTCATTCCATCTCTGCATCTTCCCTCCCTGCATCTCCCCTTGCTCTCTCATCGTCCCTCGCTCTGTATCTGACCGCACTCAGTCTTCCTGACCCCTCCACCTCTCGAACCCTCCTCTCCCCTCCCCCATCACCCCAGGTATGCTTCACGCGGCCCGACCAGCTAGCGGGCATGTCAGCGCTCTCCTCGCTGCTGGGCATAGTGGGCAACGGCCTCATGGTGCCGCGGGCGCTCTTCACACGCGACTTCATCTGGTGAGAGCCCCGCGCTCTTCACACGCGACTTCATCTGGTGAGAGCCCCGCGCTCTTCACACGCGACTTCATCTGGTGAGAGCCCCGCGCTCTTCACTCACACGCCCTGCTGCCGCCCATGCTGCCGCTCCTGCTGCCACTTGCTCTTACTTCAAAGTCATACCATAGTGGGCAACGACCTCATGGCGCCGCGGGCACTCTTCATGCGCGACTGTATTTGGTGAGATCCCGTTGTTTTTCACTCACAAGTCATGCTACCCCTCATTCTGCCAGTCATTCTTCCCCTCATGCTGCCCCGCATTATGCCCCTCCTTTTGCCCCTCATCCTGCCTGACCTCCACTCTCCTGCTTCCCCTGCCACATATTCTCCCCAAGCGATCTCCGTCACACCACTACCGCTGCCTGTCACACTCCAGGGCCGTATGCGAGCCGGCATAACCAATCCCCCATGCCCTAGGATGTGTTGCCTTAATCAATTCCCACCTCCCCCTCCTCCCTCAACAGTCACACCTTTCTTGTATGTCCACATGCATTTTATCCCCATCTTGCTTGTTGGGTGCAAGCAAGCCGCCATTCGCCCACCTCCTCATCAAAGCCCCTTGGGATTTGCGGGGTCAAAGTCCCCCGCTCTTCCCATGTCCTCCGCACTCAAGCCTTTCTTATATTGCTCGCCTTCGTCCTAATCCCATCACGCGTGTGGCACGTTCCGTTCCGCTATATGTGGGCCGCCATTCTCACTGTCTACTGCCACCGGCTGGATGTGCTGCCTTCATCAATGCCCACCTCTGCATTCCCTCGATCATTCAAGTGTATGGCACATGCTTGCTTGTGTCATGCCCCTGGAGCTACAAATGAGCCTCCGTTCTCAACGTCTCTGCCACCGGATGTGCTGCCTTCAACATTCCTTTTTCAGCTCCCTTCCTAAACCCTTTTCCTTTCTCCCCTTCCGTGGCACACAAACTCTCTATGTGAATAATTTCCCACATGTTGCCCATCACCTCTCCTGTTTCATCCCACCCATTCCTGTAATGCTTGTGTCAGGTTTCTGGGTTGTTCCTGGGGCTGCATTCTCATGGGCTGGGGTGTTCTCCTCGCCATGGCCCTCCACGGCTTCTACTCGCCTCGCCTCTTCATGGCTGTCTCACTTGCGCTTATCGGCTATCTTGCTGCTGTCTTTAAGTTTGATGCCGATGCACATGTCTGCACTCCTTTGCTTGGCTCTATCTCTGGATTGCTAAAGGGTGCAGCTTGAGTTTTCTTGCGGAAGGGAATAGTTGATACTGGTACAATAATGTAAATGATCCTGTTTTGGGGGATGTAGAGTTGCTTTAGCACTACGTTGAGGCATTTCGGAAGTGTAATGTACAGCTAGTGGCATGTTAGGGGTAACCAGACTGTCGCCAAGGTTTCGCGATTCCTCGAGAGCTTTCCAGGTTCGTCTTGCATGCTGCTGGAACAACCCAGCATCCCCCAGCGAGCCTCACCATCAGGTGGGAAACAGGAGAAATTTGTTTCTAGTGGATTCTAGGCCGAGAGCTTTGGTCTAGGAGCAGCCATTCTTTCCTTCCAAGCCGCGTGCGCTTCGCAAATGTCTTCCATTCCGCGCTACGAGATGCGTTCTCACTGCAATATTTATGTCTGCTCTTTTGGCTCTCAGAAACGCCACGTGAAACCTGCTGTAGCTTCCCAGCCCACCAACAACATTCCTGGATCTTAGAGGTTATTGCCGCCAGTAGCACATTACCACAGCATCGCGATCATCGCCTCATTCGCCAGTTCATTCAGGCAGACGTGGCGCTGGCGCTGCTTTCCAACCCGTTTGCAAATTCAATCCCTTCGTTAAGCGACTTCGACGACATGACCTCCATGCTAAATCATTTTCCAAGTAATCTCCTTGGCGACACTCAGTCACTCCTCAGTCACTCGATCTACAACAATCCCCTTCGCAATCTCACTTTCATCGGCGGTAACCCAGTAAACCAAGCTCTTCGCGAGCTCGACAACGACTCGCTCGGCGTTCCCGAGGTTGTCGTTGAAGAGTATCCAGACGCGATCAAAATCGTCGCGACCGTTCCGGGCCTCGAGAAGAAGGACCTGCAGGTGCAGGTGCGGGGGAAGGATGTTGTGACGATCAGCGGCAAGCGGACCAGAGAGGAGAGGGACAACGACGACAGCAACCGCGTTGTCAAGGAGTTCAGCAGCTTCGAGCGCAGCTTCCGGCTGCCACGTGACGTGTCTACGAAACAGGTTACAGCAGCAGCGCGGAACGGCGTGCTCACGGTGACGGTTCCCAAAAGAACGTCTTGCAAACAAACGTCTGGTCGCAGGCTCGCGAATCCAAACGCGAAGGGGAAAGCGAAGGATGTTCAGAAGCAAGGCGGGCTGAGCGGCGAGCAACGAGTTAGCAAGAAGAGGAAAGTTATTCACTTTGCCCCTGGGAGCTGAACTCACCTTTCTAGGGTGCAAGGGTCCTGTCAACGTGATGGCCCCCCACAAATTCCACATAGAACCTATGCTGTAATCACGTGTAATTACTGGTATGGTTTTTTGCTACACCATGTAAATATCTATATAGAGGAGATAATGCCGCTTCCATCTTCATGCGTGGCAAAGACTACTAGGTATATATCCAATGCATGCAATGCAACGTAACCATTCTCTTGCATTATCAAAACTTTGGTGGTGCTGATGCGATAGAATATGACAGGAACATGAAAGATACAGAGCTTAAGCAGATTGATAGGGAGTCAGACACTGTAAAGGGGATATGAAAGAATTGGAGGCTGGTGGCCTTGGCACCTCTGAAATTGTGTCATCTCAGGAGTGGTGTGTCACGATGCGGTGAGGTTGAGATGGGTCATGTCATGACTCATGAGTGGTGGGTGAAGATGCAGGGATGTTGACACGTGTCATTTTAAGAGTGGTGTGTGAAGATGCGCAGGTGGTTGTCAGCTCCCCCACTGACTACAGCGTTGCCGCCCTGCCACCAGTCCGCACACAGCACCTGCCCACCCCAGAGGTGCATTCAATACATTGTATCAGGACAAGGCATGAGGGGTAAGGACATGCGTGCATGGGGCAGTGACATGTGTGTATGACACAAGGCACGTTCATGTGCTATCTGGGTGCAGTAAGGCACATGTGCGTGAAAAGGCCATGCATGCAGTAAAAGCCATCCACAGCGCATGAAGGTATCACGTCCATGACCCATGAACGGATGGATTTGATGCGTCAAGTGATCAATGGTCACTCGATCCATGCAAGGTTCGGGATGGCAAACTTTTTTTTTTTTTTTTTTTTTTTCTTGTAATGCCACAAAATTACTCTGTGTGTGCATGTTGCGAAATGGCAGATGGAGCTGCTGGAAGGGCGTTGCCAGTGTCCTTGGCCAGCACGTATATATTGGCACTCAATGTGTTGATGACATGATAACATGATGACGTGGCATGCACAGACGAGCGAAAGGCATGAAGACATTAGCGCATGCAGGCATGCAGGCATGACGGCATTAGCTCATGCAGGCATGAAGGCGTGAAGGCGTGAAGGCATGAGGGCATGAAGGCATGGAAACAAAGCAGACATAAAATGATGGCATGAAGGCTTTGGCCTTACCTTATCCGAGTGAGCTTTGACCGTGTGAAGCGGCACCTGCACGTTCGAAAGAGAGGCACAGGGGTGCGAGACATGCTGAGTTAGAAGCAGGACGGCAGCATGTGGGAGCCCATGGCAGCATGTGGGGGCCCATGGCAGCATGTGGGGGCCCATGGCAGCATGTGGGGGCCCATGGCAGCATGTGGGGGCCCATGGCAGCATGTGGGGGCCCATGGCAGCATGTGGGGGCCCATGGCAGCATGTGGGGGCCCATGGCAGCATGTGGGGGCCCATGGCTGCATGTGGGGGCCCATGGCAGGATGTGGGGGCCCATGGCAGCATGTGGGGGCCCATGGCAGCATGTGGGGGCCCATGGCTGCACTCACACGAACCTGTGCACTTTGCAACACACATAACTGCCACGAAATGGTACGGACTGGGAGAGAATACGGCAAACCATGCACATGACTGAGTTGTAGATTTGTACAGCGCCTTGGAAGCGCTGTACGAGGTTTTTGAAAGTTATTAATAAGCTTTCAAGTTGCGTCTCACAATACGAGACTGGTAACATGCACCCCTTGGGCTGCATGCATGTACAGAACAGAGATACACACACATGCAGCCCAAGGGGTGAAGCAACTTCATGGGGAGCATGGGGGAGGGGGGACGAGGGGACAGGGGAGTGGCGACATACAGTGGAGCCAAGATCCAGATCTGAGCGAACCATCGTAGGAACGGGGCCGGGGGAACGTGGCGGTTGGGGGCCAGGAGAACGTGGGGATGAGGGGCTAGGGGAACGTGGGGATGAGGGGCTAGGGGAACGTGGGGCAGGGCACTCACAGTGGAGCGAAGATCCCAAATCTTGAGCGAGCCATCGTAGGCAGAGGAGAGGAGATGCAGTGGGTTCGATGGGGACCTGTAGAGGCGGCAGAGTGATACGGGATGATCATGGAAAACAAGTAGGAAACAGGTGAGGCTAGCATGGGAAACAAGTAGGAAACAGGTGAGGCTAGCATGGGAAACGAAGAGAACAAAACCAGTGTAAGTATAACAACCCATGAATTGTTATACTTATGGCTTATTGAGTTGAATGGGTTGTTATAGCGTATTGAAACCATAACAAACCATTCACAACCATTTGTGGAATTGGATAGCAGTCAACTGCAATGTCAACTGCCATGTCAGCAACCTAAGACATTCTCTAGCAAGGAAGCACTTCACCTACGTTGCTGCTCGCTAACATAGATAGATGGTTCCGCCAAACTCCGTTTCCAGGAAAAGACAAACGAACCAGCAGCAGCAATAGTGAACGATGCCTACATAAAGAAGAATGTATGCACATGGTAGTATTGCACACACACTACGAGTGCTCTTGGCCCCACGTTACCATTCAGGGGAGGAGATCCAATCCAAACCACACGTTACCATGCGAGGGAGGAGATCCAATCCAAACCACACGTTACCATGCGAGGGATGAGATCCAATCCAAACCACACGTTACCATGCGAGGGATGAGATCCAATCCGTGTGACCCAGCAGCTGGATCGATGGAGAAAGCACGGCTGGAGAGGGAGTTTGAAAAGGGAGGAGCGAGGTGGGAGGTGGGAGGAGGGGAGAGTGGCTCTGGGAAGTGTCACTTGCACTCACAAGGGGACGGGGGAAGGGGAGGGTATGATGGAGATGATGGAGAATATGGTGCAGACGAGGAAGGGGTATGTGCTTGCAAGATGGAAACACAAGGGTGGAATGACACCCACACTTCACCCTTGTCCAAACCTCACACCCTTGTCCAAACCTCACACCCTTGTCCAAACCTCACACCCTTGTCCAAACCTCACACCCTTGTCCAAACCTCACACCCTTGTCCAAACCTCACACCCTTGTCCAAACCTCACACCCTTGTCCAAACCTCACACCCTTGTCCAAACCTCACACCCTTGTCCAAACCTCACACCCTTGTCCAAACCTCACACCCTTGTCCAAACCTCACACCCTTGTCCAAACCTCACACCCTTGTCCAAACCTCACACCCTTGTCCAAACCTCACACCCTTGTCCAAACCTCACACCCTTGTCCAAACCTCACACCCGTGTCCAAACCTCACACCCTTGTCCAACCCTCACACCCTTGTCCAAACCTCACACCCTCGTCCAAACCTCACACCCTTGTCCAAACCTCACACCCTTGTCCAAACCGCACACCCTTTTCCAAACCTCACACCCTTGTCCAAACCTCACACCCTTGTCCAAACCTCACACCCTTTTCCAAGCCTCACACCCTTGCCCAACCCTCATGGCCTTGCCCCACACTCACATGCTGCAGAGCGCATGTCCCAGACGAGGATGGTGGGGTGAGCAGAGCGCATGTCCCAGACCAAGATGGTGGGGTGAGCAGAGCGCATGTCCCAGGACCAGGATGGTGGGGTGAGCAGAGCGCATGTCCCAGACGAGGATGGTGGGGTGAGCAGAGCGCATGTCCCACACCACACCCATACCCTCACAGCAAGCCATCCCACTCACATGTGGCAGCGCGCATGTCCCACAGCAGGATGGTGGGGTGCGCGCCCCCCACTGCCACCAGCGACGCCATCCCACCTCCCCCTGCCGCCACTGCCAGCAGCGGATGCGCGCTGGTCTGAAGTGAGAAGGGGGAAACGGGGGGGGGGGTGCATGGATCACACCAGAGCCCATAGGAAGGACAGCGATTGCACATGCCATGGTCATGTATGCGTGCGTATGGAAACTGAGGCAGAAACAGCAACCACGTCCCACGAGCGACAAGTGAGCGTGGTTGCCCTACAGCCACATTATTAAAAGAGGCTATGGCGCATGGCATGGCACTGCACATACGCACCATGCATGGCATGGCATGGAATGGCATGGCATGGCATGGCTGCTACCCACCCGCACGGTGACAGAAGCAGCCTCCACGACCCACGACATGACAGACGACACGACTGACACAGCCCATGATGATGCACATACCCGCACAGGTGATGTCAAAGATAAACAGGTGGGCAGCGGAGGTCTTATGTCCATCAACTTGTGTCTTAGGACAACGAAGCAAACCCCATGAAATATGAAAAAGCAAGAAAGCCTGGAGAGCTTGTGAGCTAGAACGTCTTAGAGAGCCAGTTTGAACAGAATCCTCAACTTAAAATCAGAACTTGAGTAAACTAGTTTCGGTTCTTGCGAACCTTCATCAGCTATGTTGCGCCTGACGCCCTGAAAGGGCAGCGTCCAGCGTCCGGACGGTCACGTCCGGACGCTGGTCGCGTCAAATCGGTTTGACGCTGGACGTTCGGAAAAAAAAAATCGGGTAGCCCAAACAAAATCCCGCACGCAATTGACGCGCGATATCATCGCGACCAGAATTGGAATTGGCAAGAGGGTGTTGCGTTTTTTACCTAGAAAAACGCAACCCACATTTATTCCCCCCCACACATTTCTGCCCATCCCAATCTACTACTCCCAACCATGACAACCCCCAACTAAACTAGAGAACCAGATCTAGGTCGACACTTCACAGATCTGTTTCTCTCGACATTGCCAGGCATACCCTACACTAGAATCCGCCAGTCACGTTACTAAGCCTTCCTAGCTAAAATTAGGTTAAGGCGATTAAGTTATCATGTCAACTCCTAGTTCCGCCGGTCAATCTAATAGTGGCTCCACACCTTCTGCAGGTGGTGTGGAAGGAGAACGCAAGAATGGAGCATTTATAACTGTAGGTGACAAAAGTGAACTTCTTGCATTCTAACCCCTGCGTATCCTTACTAGGCAGGTTTTTTACCCCCGCCCGGGAAAAGTTTTGCCCTGCCCGGACCAGCGTCAAGCGGGCGTCCAGGGCAGAGGACACCGGGCGTCAAGCGTCTGGACGCCCCGTCCAGACGCCAGCGTAAAAAACGCCTGACGCGTCAGGCGCAACATAGTTCATCAGTACAAACAAGCCTGAAGCTAAGCATCTGATCTGAACAAGCTGACTAAAGTACTCTGCGCTAAAGCTGAGCTAACCAGGTAGATGGATGCAATGCGAGGCGGAAATGGCGTGAAATCTCGAGGTGAGCCAGAGACTTTGATCCCGTCCTTCAAAACCAAAAAGGGGAACTTCGGGAGGATTGGTAACCAGGATCGAAAAGTAAAAAAAAGTGGTAACACCACTTCGTTGCGCGAAAGTGTTAAACTGCGACAGGTTGGAGCCTTGATTGAATCAGTCTTCGACGTAAGCGAGAAGGTAAATTCCACGCTAGCAGAAATCTACAGGAACCAGAAATAGAGAAACCACGTGTAGAAAAAAGATTTTTGAGACGTCTCAAAAAACTTTTTTCTACACATGGCATGGCATGGCATGGCTGCTACCCACCCGCACGGTGACAGAAGAAGCAGCCTCCACGACCCACGACATGACACAGCCCATGGTGATGCACATACCCGCACAGTCACAGCAGCAGCAGCCTCCATATCCCACGAGCCGTGATGCCACGACGCAGAGAAGAGCACAGAGTGAATGTTGATGCACACACTCTACGTACCCAGCCTACCCCACAAACCACCTACACCTCATAGTGACCACGCACACCACGCACACCACGCACTCGCACAGACACAGCAGAAGCAGCGTCCACGTCCCATGCAGACAGAGAGTGGTCCCACGAGACAGAGGAGAGCACAGTGAGAATGTTGATGCATGCTTACTACCTACCTACCACCCGCACACACCATTTACACCACGCACACACTACTTACCCGGACAGACACAGCAGAAGCAGCGTCCACGTCCCAGGAGCGCAGGGAGTGGTCCCACGACACAGAGGAGAGCATGGGGGAAATGTTGATGCACAATCGCTACCCACCCGCACAGACACAGCAGAAGCAGCTTCGACGTCCCATGCACGCAGCGAGTGGTCCCACGAGACGGAGAAGAGCGAGGAGCCTTGCGCCGGCCATGCCACGCCTGCCACGCACTGTGTGTGCGCTTCCAGAGCGAGGTCCGGGGTGAGCTGGACGGATGAAGAGGGGAGAGAAGGGGAAGGGCGAGGAGGGATTTGGGGAGGGAAGGTGAAGGAGAGAGAGGGAGGAAGAGAAGAGTGAGGAAGAGAAGAGGGAGGCGAAGCAGAGTTGCGACGAGGTCAGGTCCGGCCATGCCAGGCCCCCCACGCACTGCGTGTGCTCCTCTTGAGAGAAAAGGTCTGGGGCGAGCTGGAGGCATGAGGAGGGGGGAGGGAAAAAACGGAATTGTGAGGAGAATATCTTGTGTGCAAGCCATGCGAGGCCATGCGAGGCACTGTGTGTGCGGCTCTAAAGAGAGGTCAGTGTCGAGGAGGCACAATTACATTACGTACGAATGGAGCTGTGTGTGCCTCCTCAACCCGGACCATGCCACGCCATCACATGCCACAGCCAGCATGCATGGAAACGGGTTTCCTAACAACGACTCGTGTAGCATGCAGCGACCAGCAACCAGCAGCCCACAGCCAGCACTTGAGATTTGAGAATTCAGCAGTGAGCATGGAAAGCAAGGCGAATGTGCGCTTGTGAATACCTCCACGCCCTCTGCCTCAACCGCCCCTGCAGCCGTCCGCACTCGCTTCCGCGCTTGCCCCGCTCCCTCCGCTCCTCCCGCCTCCCCCCCTTCCTCCTCCCCCTCTCCTCCCGCATCCTCCCCCATTCCCCCACTCCCATCACCACCTGCGCTCCCGTCCCCTCCCCCTCCCCCTCCCTGCCTTCCTGTGTTGGCTCCCAGCCTGGGCAGAGTCCAGAGCTTGATGGTGCTGTCCCAGCCGCCTGATGCCAGCTGTGGTGGGGAGGCAAGGGAAGAGAGGGGTAAGAGTGGCAGGCAGAGGGGCGAGAGAAAGGAGAGTGAGAGGAGAGGAGGCAGCGAGCACAGCTTGATGGTGCCATGCTTGATGGTGCCATTCTTGATGCTGCCACTCTTGATGCTGCCACTCTTGATGGAGCCACTCTTGATGCTGCCACTCTTGATGCTGCCACGCTTGATGGAGCTGTCCCAGCCGTATGAAAGAGCAAATCGAAGACTTTCACTCAAATAGAACACAAAGAAGGTTGTATCGTATGAAGAAAAAAAATCGGTCAGAAAGCCAGACACAATAGGCCCAAATGTTGTGTATGAAAGCGTTTAGGACAGCAAAGGTCACATATGAACGCGTGTATGGAGTCTGTCAGAACCACGCTGTATGTGCATATGAAGGCACGAAGATTGTGTGAAGGCGTGTGCCAAGGTGTGTGAAGGCATGTGCCAAGGTGTGTGAAGGCGTGTGCCAAGGTGTGTGAAGGCGTGTGCCAAGGTGTGTGAAGGCGTGTGCCAAGGTGTGTGAAGGCGTGTGCCAAGGTGTGTGAAGGCGTGTGCCAAGGTGTGTGAAGGCGTGTGCCAAGGTGTGTGAAGGCGTGTGCCAAGGTGTGTGAAGGCGTGTGCCAAGGTGTGTGAAGGCGTGTGCCAAGGTGTGTGAAGGCGTGTGCCAAGGTGTGTGAAGGCGTGTGCCAAGATGACTGGACAGCCGTCAAGTGGCCTCCCGTCACACACAGCCTCTGCCATGGATCCATCCATGGGAGCAGTACATCAATCAAGCACCACACGTGTATGTGCACATCAAGCACCACACGTGTATGTTATGTGCACATCAAGCACCACACGTGTATGTGCACATCAAGCACTACACGTGTATGTGCACATCAAGCACCACCTACATGTGTATGTGCACATCAAGCACCACACGTGTATGTGCACATCAAGCACCACCTACATGTGTATGTGTGAAAGAGGATGTGTGTAAGCATGCCCGTACCTTATTAGTCCGTGCGTTCACAGCAGCGCACTGCACGGCAGCGGTGTGGCCTCGCATCACTGCCACCACCCATGCGCGCAGCGAGGGAGGGGCGGAAGGCGCCTCAGTGCTCTCTCCTGCGAGCTGGCAGAGGAAGGGAGAGAGAAAGAGCAGGGGAAGGAAGGAGTGGGAGAAGCAGAGGTAAGAAGAGGGACAGTCGGGGAGCCCAGGGGTTGATGCCCAGTCGGGGAGCCCAGCCGGCCAGACGAGGCGGTGAGAGAGGTGAGCTGTTGTGTTGTGGCTTCCAACCGGCAACAGCTGTTGTGTTGTGGCTTCCAACCGGCAACAGCCACATTTGAGGATTCGCATTGACATGTGTACAAGCAAAGGGGCACGACAGCAAGGCACTCATGCACCCACCTGCCAGAGGCGCAGCGTGCGGTCTTTGGACGCCGACACAAAGGCGCTGCCTGCTGCCGTGCGACCATGGGTTGACCAGCAAGGGGGAAGGGGGGGGCAGAGAGAAGAGGAAGGGCGGGAACGAGGGGGAGGGATGTAAATGGGTTATGAAAGGTAAGAAGAGAATCGAGATGGTGTTGAAATACTAGTGCTTCGCTTATAGGCAGGGTGGTGAAGGATGTTGAGAAGGAGAAACGAAGGTTGGTCATGGCAGCGCATGAATGCAAAACTGAGTGATGTATGTGCCATCCAGTGGTTCCTCTTGTGATGTATGTGCCATCCAGTGGTTCCTCTTGTGATGTATGTGCCATCCAGTGGTTCCTCTTGTGATGTATGTGCCATCCAGTGGTTCCTCTTGTGATGTATGTGCCATCCAGTGGTTCCTCTTGTGATGTATGTGCCATCCAGTGGTTCCCCTTGTGATGTATGTGCCATCCAGTGGTTCCTCTTGTGATGTATGTGCCATCCAGTGGTTTCTCTTGTGATGTATGTGCCATCCAGTGGTTCCTCTTGTGATGTATGTGCCATCCAGTGGTTCCCCTTGTGATGTATGTGCCATCCAGTGGTTCCTCTTGTGATGTATGTGCCATCCAGTGGTTCCTCTTGTGATGTATGTGCCATCCAGTGGTTCCTCTTGTGATGTATGTGCCATCCAGTGGTTCCTCTTGTGATGTATGTGCCATCCAGTGGTTCCTCTTGTGATGTATGTGCCATCGAGTGGTTCCTCTTGTGATGTATGTGCCATCGAGTGGTTCCCCTTGTGATGTATGTGCCATCCAGTGGTTCCTCTTGTGATGTATGTGCCATCGAGTGGTTCCCCTTGTGATGTATGTGCCATCCAGTGGTTCCTCTTGTGATGTATGTGCCATCCAGTGGTTCCCCTTGTGATGTATGTGCCATCCAGTGGTTCATCTTGTGATGTATGTGCCATCCAGTGGTTCCTCTTGTGATGTATGTGCCATCCAGTGGTTCCTCTTGTGATGTATGTGCCATCCAGTGGTTCCTCTTGTGATGTATGTGCCATCCAGTGGTTCCTCTTGTGATGTATGTGCCATCCAGTGGTTCCTCTTGTGATGTATGTGCCATCCAGTGGTTCCTCTTGTGATGTATGTGCCATCCAGTGGTTCCCCTTGTGATGTATGTGCCATCCAGTGGTTCCTCTTGTGATGTATGTGCCATCCAGTGGTTTCTCTTGTGATGTATGTGCCATCCAGTGGTTCCTCTTGTGATGTATGTGCCATCCAGTGGTTCCCCTTGTGATGTATGTGCCATCCAGTGGTTCCTCTTGTGATGTATGTGCCATCCAGTGGTTCCTCTTGTGATGTATGTGCCATCCAGTGGTTCCTCTTGTGATGTATGTGCCATCCAGTGGTTCCTCTTGTGATGTATGTGCCATCCAGTGGTTCCTCTTGTGATGTATGTGCCATCGAGTGGTTCCTCTTGTGATGTATGTGCCATCGAGTGGTTCCCCTTGTGATGTATGTGCCATCCAGTGGTTCCTCTTGTGATGTATGTGCCATCGAGTGGTTCCCCTTGTGATGTATGTGCCATCCAGTGGTTCCTCTTGTGATGTATGTGCCATCCAGTGGTTCCCCTTGTGATGTATGTGCCATCCAGTGGTTCCTCTTGTGATGTATGTGCCATCCAGTGGTTCATCTTGTGATGTATGTGCCATCCAGTGGTTCCTCTTGTGATGTATGTGCCATCCAGTGGTTCCTCTTGTGATGTATGTGCCATCCAGTGGTTCCTCTTGTGATGTATGTGCCATCCAGTGGTTCATCTTGTGATGTATGTGCCATCCAGTGGTTCCTCTTGTTATGTATGTGCCATCCAGTGGTTCATCTTGTGATGTATGTGCCATCCAGTGGTTCCTCTTGTGATGTATGTGCCATCCAGTGGTTCCTCTTGTGATGTATGTGCCATCCAGTGGTTCATCTTGTGATGTATGTGCCATCCAGTGGTTCCTCTTGTGATGTATGTGCCATCCAGTGGTTCCTCTTGTGATGTATGTGCCATCCAGTGGTTCCTCTTGTGATGTATGTGCCATCCAGTGGTTCCTCTTGTGATGTATGTGCCATCCAGTGGTTCCTCTTGTGATGTATGTGCCATCCAGTGGTTCCTCTTGTGATGTATGTGCCATCCAGTGGTTCCTCTTGTGATGTATGTGCCATCCAGTGGTTCCTCTTGCTTAACATCACACGTGACTGCCAGCATGCACACGACTGGCAGCATGCACATGGTGCGGTAGCTACCTGGCAGGGCGGCGATGTGAGTGACGACATCAGAGTGTGCTGCTGCCACCTGAATGCACCTCGCACCGCTGCTACCCGCATCAGCAGCATGGGCAGCATGAGCAGTGGCATCAGCTGGGGTGGCCGCGGCAGCGGAGGTTGGAGGGACGGAGAAGAGGCTGCAGGTAACAGAGACAGACAGAGGGGAGAGAGCCAAGGGAGAGGAAGAAGGGACAGGTGAGGGAGGGAGAAGGAGGGACGTGGGTGATAAGGCATGAAATGAAAGAGGCAGAACCACCTCGTCCATTGAGGCCAGGCGCTCACATCCGCCCCTCTCTCAACTCAACTGCTGCCCCTCAACGGTGCCTTGCATGCACAGCGCTACTGCGATGTGCCACAGACAGTTTTGCCACACACACGTGCCCTGCTGCGCGCGGAGTCATGCCGCGCTATGCCGCGACATGCCTCATGTCATGACATGCCATGCTGTGCCATGCCTCATGTCATGCTGTACCATGCCGTGTCATGTCATGTCATGCCGTGCCATGCCTCATGTCATGCCGTGCCATGTCGTGCCATGCCTTATGTCATGCCGTGCCATGCCGTGCCGTGCCGTGCCGGGTCATGTCATGTCATGCCGTGCCAAGTCGTGTCATGCATGCCTTGCCATGCCATGCCATGACATGTCATGCCGTGTCATGCCGTCCCATGCCGCGCCATGTTGTGCCATGCCAAGCCTACCTGCGTGCCACCCCTCACTCACCGCACGTGCGAGTCATAGGAGCCGGTCACGATCACACTGCAGCATGCAACAGTTCACAGGACGGTGGGGAAAGAAGACGGGGAAGGGGGAGGAGGGGGCAAGATGAGACAATGGCAGCTGAGGAGGCACCTGGCAGGGCTTTCACATGGAGAAAAACCTGTCTGAGCTTTCACCTGAAAAGACGCCTGGCAGGAACTTCACCTGGGATGCGCAGCAGAGACAGCGGAAACCCAATCATCATGGGGAGCAGAGTGGGAGGCGGAGGGCGGGCGCACTGCTAGTGTGTACTCGATGGGAATCACCCGCTCCTGCCATGGGGGTAGTGGGGGAAAGGGGTTGAGGGGCGGGAGTTTGGGGAGAGGGATTGGAGGGGGAAAGGGGAGAGACGAGCGAGTTAGGGGCGAAAATGCAGGCTTGGTAGTGTGTACTAAATGGGTATGACCCGCTCCTGCCGTGGTGTGGGGTGGTGGGGGGTGGGAAGGGGCGAGAGAGGTAGGAGCGAGGGTGCAGGAGTGCGAGTGTGTACACAATGGGGGTAATCCGCTCCTGCTGTGGTGGGCGGGGACGAGGGTGCAGGCATGCTTGGTGTGAACAGTGAAGTGAGGGAGTGGATGCAGCATCATGGCATGTGGATGTAACATCATGGCATGTGGATGTAACATCATGGCATGTGGATGTAACATCATGGCATGTGGATATAACATCATGGCATGTGGATGTAACATCATGGGATGTGGATGTAACATCATGGGATGTGGATGCAACCGCATGGCATGGTGCGCATGCAGGGTTCCATGCATGGGGTCCGTGCAAAGGTTCCATGCATGGGGTGCGTGCAAAGGTTCCATGCATGGGGTGCGTGCAGGGATGATGATGTGCGTGCGTGCAGGCATGCATGCATCGGAGCATCACCGTGGAGAGTGCTGACGTCAGCAGGCACTTGCGCAGGGAGGATCGCAGCAGCCGTCCATCCACAATGAAATCGAACGGTTGTGGTGCGTCTGCGCGGATTAAGAGAAGTGGGGAGGTAAGATTATTATATTGCCTCACTATCAGCCGTCCATCCACGCTTTGATCAAACGGCTCTGGTGAGTTGGAAAAGGGGGAGAATAAGGGGGGACGGATGAAGGAGAGGGGCAATCCAAGGGGGAAACAAGCAGGATCGAACGGAGAGGCGTGGCGTGGCTGATCTTACAAAGGGTTTTATCAGAGGTTCAGGGTTTCGGGTCATGCGGGAGCAACCGGCGTGGAGTCAGAGAAGATCTGGCAAAAATGAAATCAAATGCGCTAGGGTTTCACATTCAGGCTGCGAAGTTCGGGTTTAGACGGCTAGGGTACGGGGTCCAGAGGGATGCGGTTCAGGAGAAAGACGGCATGTTGCACCGAGAGGGCATGGAAGGAAAGCAAATCGGGGAAGCTGAGGGATTCGGGTGACTAAGGGGGGATACGAGGGTTTGACGAGACCAGACGGTTGGGCGCCCATGATTTGAGGGGATGAGTGGAGACAGGAATGGGCGAGAACGGCATTCATAGGGCTGACGAGGGGGAACGCGCCACGAGCCTGACAAGTCAATCGTAATGATATAATTCACCGTTACGTGGAAACAATACCGTTCGCTCGATTCTGTTCCGCTTGCCGCAGCTAGCGGCGACTCTATGCCTTCGCGATCCAACCACAAGCGCACGATTTCAGCGTTATGTGGTAACATAATCGCTCACTAGATCCTGTCGTCAATGGCATTACCGCGGCCTAGCAGCGTGTTGATAACTTCGGACAGGCCGTAGCGCGTGAGTCTGACGGGCACCGTGAACGGCGTTGACGGAACCGTCAGGTGAGCCGGCAGACGCGTCGTGAAGCGAACCTGCACCTGACGGTCGTCCGTGCCGGCCACTACCGGCGCCATTTGCCAAAGAAGGGATTACGTGGCGCGATACGCTGAGTGCAGTAGGGTGTGAAACTAAGGAAGGCGCAGAGAAAGTGGTATGGAGGGTGTGATCGGTGGGAGCAGCTGCATTTTCCCGACGGTGATTTGTGCGTTTAGAGAGAGTGCGCTAAGGGAAAAAATGAGACAAGAAAAACATTGTGAATGAGCTTGAGTAAAACATACACGAGCTTGTGGCGAGAAGCGCGAAAGCATGCACCCTGCTTCATCGAGGTTCCATTAATATTACGAATAGTGAAATGAGAAAAAGGAACTGCTCACTCCTAACCGCAGCAATCGAAGCACGCAGTACTGAGGCTGGAGACGAAAAGGCAGAAGTGACGCGAAAGGGTCATACGGTTACGAAGCATCTGAACAGTCAAGGCAGATGGCATCAGGCGGCAGCAATGGCGAGGATTCTGCCCGGACAGTTTCGTAACCGTCTGGAGTCGCACAGTTGAGTTTCGCTGCAATAAGGGAATGTACCCCTTAGAGTACATGGCTACTGTTGGAATAACCGAAATGTTATCTTACCGTATGGCCCCGGATATAAGCGCAGGCCTATTATAAGCGCATGCGCTTGTATCTGGAGCAATGCGCTTATGGCCGATCCTCATTTATAAGCGCACCCCCTGTAAAACCTTGATTTATTATAAGCGCACGTATAATTCTAAAATTCAAACCAGATTAAAACGGTAGCGATTTCAAATTTTGCAGTGAGGATACAACTATTTTCGCTTCGATTGACTTTCGAGGACCTCACATACTGCGCGTCCAGTCAGTATGAGCTGGCATTTCTGATAGTGACGTGTAAATTTTCCTCTGTGCGCCGGCAGAAAATCGCTCACGCGCGAATCTGAATTGCGACTCGCTACCACTTCGATTCGATTGAAATCACAAGAAGGATATGTACAATTTGGTGCCAATGAATTATAAATTTGCATTTGTTATTATATAAGCGCATGCGCTTATAAATCTGACTCAATTATAAGCGCACCCCCCCAAAAAACACTGTTTTATTATAAGCGCAGGTGCGCTTATATCCGGGGTATTACGGTAACATTCTCGAATGCTCTCCACTCGCGCGTCACTTTATAACAAAGCTATGCGCCTGTACTAGTATCGCAATAGCTCATATACAGCATGCGGAAGGTCGAGGGTCACCCGAAGGTCAACAGTCGAAGACAGTCAACGGTCATGCCCCTTGACTGTTCAGTAACCGCACTTGGTAGTTGTTGGGCTGAGAAGCCCTAGGATCTTTATAGAGTTAAAGACTGAGTAGAGTTGTAATAGCGGAAGCGTTAAGTAAGAGGTCTTGAACCACCTTGCACTGGTATGTGAGGGCAAAGTAAAGTTGATTAAAACAAGCAAATACAAGGTTTTATATAAGAGTACAAGGAATACGAATAGATATAATAACTGTCTTTGCTGTTGCGATTCGATACTGTGCGACTCGGGCAACTGCTCAATGTCGAGTCAGTTGTGTGTCCTTACTGTCGCGCTGTATTGGTCAAGTCAAAGGTCGCTTGACCTTTGACCTTCGTGTAACCTCCAGGCGGTTACACCCAACCTCCGAGGGTTGACTCGCGATGCTTCGATTCTGACTGCTTCGCTTTGAGTGCTGCGTTTCGACATGACAGAGGCGCTTTAAGACTTATTGTTCCCAACACTCCCCTTCGCTTCTGGAGTGTCGCTGATGGTGACGTGGCTTTTGTCAGAACATTATAGCTTACTTATTTGTGTAGGCTATAGTGGGGTATCCCATAGGGGGTACAACCCAGTTAGGGTTGCCTATTTGTACTCACTTCGTTCATAGTTCACACATTCTCTCGTTCACTTCTTCACATGGAATCAGAGCAGGTTCCCCTGTGGGAACTGTGCTTCGGGCCCACCACCTAGAACTTTTTTTTCTGCCCTGGCGCCCGCCCTAGTGCCCGCCCTAGTGCTCGCCCTAGCGCCCGCCCTTTCGAGCCGCCCGTTCGCGCCGCCCGTTAGCGCCGCCCGTTAGCGCCGCCCGTGCGGCTGCCCGTTCGCGCCGCCCTTTGCGCAGCCCGTAGCGCCGCCCGTGCGGCCGCCCGTTAGCGCCGCCCGTGCGGCCGCCCGTAGCGCCCCCCGTGAGCCGCCGCCCGTAGCGCCGCTCGTGAGCCGCCGCCCGTCGCCACCCTTTAGCGCCGCCCGTGAGCGCCGCCCGTGACGCAGCCGCCCGTGAACCGCCGCCCGTGACGCCGCCGCCCGTGACGCCGCCGCCCGTCCCGTCGCCCCCCCCCCCCCCCCCCCCGTGACGCCGCCGCCCGTCCCGCCGCCCGCCCGTCACGCCGCCCGCCCGTGAGCCGGCGCTGCCCGCGAACCGCCCACCCGTGGGCCTTCAGCCCGCCCGTGAGCTGCCGACGCCGCCCGTGCGCAGCCGACGCCGCCACCGCCACCCGTGAGCCGCCGACGCCGCCGACGCCGCCCGTGAGCCGCCGACGCCGCTGCCGCTGCCGTCGCCCGTGAGCCGCCGAAGCCGCCGCCACCGCCCGTGAGCTGCCGTCGCCCGTGAGCCGCCGACGCCGCCGCCGCCGCCCGTGAGCCGCCCTGGCCGCCCGCCCAGCCGCCCGTGAGCTCCCCGCGCGCCGTCCCAGCCGCCCGTGAGCCGCCACCGAGCTGCCCAAGCCGCCCGTGCCGTCGCCCGAGCCGCCTGAGCTGCCCGAGCCGCCCGGGCCGCCCGCGCCGCCCTAGCCACCCGAGCCGCCCGAGCCGCCCTAGCCGCCCGAGCCGCCCGCGCCGCCTAAGCCGCCCGAGCCGCCCGAGCTGCCCGAGCCGCCAGAGGAGCTGCTCCCCTGCTCCTGTCGGGCTACTGCTGCTCCTGGGCTGTGTACCTGCGCCGCTGACCTACCCGACTCTTTCTGCCCGGTGAGACTGTCAGCTGCTGTCATGGCCACCCCCAATGTCCTAGCTTTTGACGCTGAGGGTAGAGCCATTGACTTTGCAGTCTGGATTGAGGACCTGCAGCTGTACTTACTGTGTGATGCGGTCGATGAGGTCTCTCTCTTTGACTTTGTCTCTGGCGCTGTCCCTGCCCCTCCTCCTGATGCTGATTCCGCCGTTCGCTCCAAGTGGGCGACCCGCGATGCTCCTGCACGTCTTGCTGTGCGTCGCCACCTCCCTTCCTCCGAGCGTGCCCACTTTAGTCAGTGCAAGACCGCTCAGGCCTTGTAAGACGCTGTAGTTGCACGCTACTCCTCCCCTTCCTCCGCTACGCTGAGCCGCCTCATGCTACCTTTTCTCTTCCCTGACCTCGCTGCCTTTCCCACTGTCGCTGACCTCATTACCCACCTCCGCGCTAGTGACGCTCGCTACCGCGCTGCCCTTCCTGCTGAGTTCCGCGCCGCCAACCCTCCTCCCATGTACATCACTCTCTACTTTCTTGTCACCCGTCTCCCTGAGTCCCTCCGTGTCGTTAGGGACCAGTTTCTCTCTGTCTGTCCCACCACCCTCACTGTCGACCTCCTTGAGGAGTCCCTGCTAGCGGCTGAGAAGAGCATAGTCGCTGTAGGGGCCTCTCGGGGTGACCCTCGCACCCCCATCTTTGAGGGGTGTTCTCCTTCCCCCCTGCTGCCCTCTGTCGCCTCTGCCGCTGCGGCCGACCTCGCTGGTTTTGAGTCGGTCGGTGCGGCGTCTGCCCCCAGCGGTAGACGCCGCTCTGGCAAGGGCAAGGGGGGCAAGGGAGCGGGTGGAGCTAGAGGGGGCAGTGGCGGAGGAGGTGGGGGTGGCGGGGGGAGCGGGGGTGGCGGTGGAGGTGGTGGCGGGAGTGGAGGTACTGGTGGAGGCGGTGGAGGCGGAGGTGGCGGCGGGGGCGGTAGCGGAGGAGGCGGGGGCGAGGGTACCAGTGGGGGCGGTGGCGGTGGAGACGGGGGCGGTGGTGGAGGCGGGAGTGGCGGTGGCGGCGGGGGTCGGAGTGTCTCGTCCCAGCGCAGCAGCTCTGGGGGTGGTCAGCGCCAGCAGCAGCAGCAGCAGCAGCAGCAGCAGCAGCAGCAGCAACGCTCTCGCACCGTCCCCGCCCCTCAGCAGCTCCGTGAGTGGTACTTGCAGCGTCAGCGTGGTGGTGCGTTTGGTCCCTGCCCCTACGTTCTTCGCACCGGCGACCGTGCGGGGGAGAGGTGTGGAGGCACCCACACGGCCCGCCGCTGCTTTGGCCGCCTGACCGACGCCTGGCGTCAGCAGTTTCCGGAGGCCGCTGAGATCCCCCGCTGGGGGGAGCTGTCTAGGGCTGGTGTAGCCATTTATGATCTTGACTTTGATGCTATTCTTTCTGCTATGTATGTTGTGACTGGTAGTGATGAGGATGACTGTTACCGGTGTTTCCCGCCCGACCCGGGCATTGGTACTGCTGCGTCAGGTACTAGTGAGGCTGCTGCTCTAGGTGCTAGTGCGTCTTAGCTCTCAGGTACTGGTGAGTCTGCCCTCTCAGGTACTGTGTCGGCTTCGGCCTCTCACACCTTCACACTTGACTCTGGAGCGTCTCGCTCCTTCTTTCGGGACCGCACTACTCTCACGCCGCTGAGTCGGCCGGTTGCGGTGTCCCTGGCTGACCCCTCTGGGGGGCCTGTCCTGTCTCGCTTCTCCACGG